GACAAAAAAAAATGGCAAAAATATACAATGGGGCAAACACAGCCTCTTCAATAAATGGAGCTGGTAAAACTGGACAGCTACATGTAAGAGAATGCAGTTAGAGCACTTCCTAAACCCATACACAAAGATAAACTCAAAATGGATTAAGGACCTAAATGTAAGACCAGAAACTATAAAACTCTTAGAGGAGAACAAAGGCAGAACATGCAATGACATAAATCAAAGCAAGATCCTCTCTATGACCCACCTTCTAGGTTCAGTTCATAACAGTTGCTCAGTCATGTTCGACTCTTTGCGACCTCATGGACTGCAGCATTCCAGGCTTTCCTGTCCATTACCAGCACCCAGAGCTTACTCAAACTCATGCACATAAAGTCGGTGATGCCGTCCAACCATCTCATCCTCTGTCATCCCCTTCTCCTCCTGCCTTCAATCTTTCCCAGCATCAGGGTCTTTTCAATGTGTCAGTTCTTCCCATCAGGTGGCCAAAGTATTGGAGTTTCAGCTTCAGCATCAGTCCTTCCAATGAATGTTTAGGACTGATTTCCTTTAGGATGGACTGGTTGGATAGGGACTCTCAAGAGGTTTCTCAAACACTACAGTTCAAAAACATCAATTCTTCAGTGCTCAGCTTTCTTTATCATCCAAATCTCACATCCATACATGACTACTGGAAAAAGCGTGGTGTTGACTAGACAGACCATTGTTGGCAAAGTAAAATCTCTCCTTTTTAATATACTGTCTAGGCTGGAAATAACTTTTCTTCCAAGGAGTAAGTGTCATTTAATTTCACGGCTGCAATCACCATCTGCAGTATTTTGGAGCCCCCAAAATTAAAGTCTCTGTTTCCTTTGTTTCCCCATCTATTTGCCAGGAAGTGATGGGACCAGATGCCATGATTTTAGTTTCCTGAATGTTGAGTTTTAAGCCAACTTTTTCACTCTCCTCTTTCACTTTCATCAAGAGGCTCTTTAGTTCTTTTTTGCTTTCTACCATAAGGGTGGTGTCACCTGCATATCTCAGGTTATTGATATTTCTCCTGGCAGTCACGATTCCAGCTTGTGCTTCATCCAGTCTGGCATTTTGCATGATGTACTCTGCATATAAGTTAAATAAGCAGGGTTAAAGTATACAGCCTTGATGGACTCCTTTCCCTATTTGAAACCAACCTGTTGTTCCATGTCCAGTTCTAACTGTTTCTTCTTGACCTGCATCCAGATTTCTCAGGAGGCATTTGCATTTCTTTTTCTTTGGGATGGTCTTGATCACAGACTCTTGTACAATGTCATGAACCTTTGTCCATAGTTCTTCAGGCACTCTGTCTATCAGATCTAATCTCTTGAATCTATTTGTCACTTTCAGTGTATAATCATAAGGGATTTGATTTAGGTCATACCTGAATGTTTAGTGGTTTTCTCTGCTTTCCTCATTTTAAGTCTGAATTTGGCAATATGGAATTCATGATCCGAGCCATCATATGTATACCTATGGCTGATTCGTGTTGAGGCTTGACAGAAAACAACAAAATTCTGTAAAGCAATTATCCTTCAATAAAAAATAAAGGAAAAAAAGAATAAATCCAGTATAGACCTTAACTTGCTGAAAATCAAGTCAGTAATGGAAAAAATTTATGAAAACATTCAAAATGCAGATTATAGCAATTAGATGTTAGAGCATACATCTAGCATAGTGAATCAGAGAAGTAATTTAAACTTCATAAAATAAAAGCTTTGATAGCAAAGAAAATAAGAAAAGTTGCTATTCAAAAACTGTTTCTTAAACAAATACACTCTTATTGTAAATTTCCCCTCTCCCCCAAAAAAACCAAAGCTTTAAGGATATAATTCAGAATAAAATGCTACTGGGTTTGTTTTAGTTAATCCATGTATTGGTTGAAGTATTATTTTATTTTCTATGTGGCTAGCTAGTGCTGCCAGCATCATTTTTTTAACTTTTTATTTTATGTTGAAATAAACTGCCTCATTCTTGAACAATTTGTACTTCCCTTACTGATTTTGAAATATTAAGCTGTTTCCATATATATTTGGTCTGTTTCTTTGTTTTCTACCTGTTCCTTCACCTATTTATTGATTCTATTAAAATACCACAAGTTTTTACTACTATGGAAGTTTTCTTACTGCTTTTCACTTAAGACTAAGTGGTACTATAAACATTGAAAAATGAATCTTCCTGACTGATACCCAACACAAATGGAAGATGGCTGGCTAGTAAGATAACCTCCCTTCCCAGAGTGCCTGCCTGTTCTTTTCTGCATCTACCATTTAATTTCTCTGCTTGACAAAATGTATCAGTTGTGCATGCCTTTATTTGCTTGTAACATGAAAACTGATTGTATTGTCTTAAAAATAAAGTTTATGCACATTTACACATATATGTGTATGTAAACTATCACATAATGGGACATTGAGAGACAGAGTAACTACAGTGTTGGTTGACTCAAGTCCTCAAAAGTATCAGGAAGTAAGGCTTAATCTTGGGATTGAGTTTTCTTATAAAACAACTAATAAAAAAAAACAACTGCGAGTAGCAGTCAAAGCTACTTATTTATGCTTTTGATTTTTGTTCCACAGAAGAAAATTAACCTTACCTTTAGCTATGCATTAACTAGAACAATTTAGGACAGTACCCACTGTAGGTCAATAATTATAAAGAATGTCATATACTGAAAGGCATTATATAGCATTATGAGAAGGGAGTTATGATTACTGTGAAAAGACTCAGATCTCACTTTGGGGACTGGGGTCTACCCTGATACCACTGTAAATGAAATGTTTGTGAGTTGGATGAGAGTGTGTTAAAGATAACATCAGCTTTATTTTTTTCCCAAACTTGTTTAATCTTGCTATATTCATTATTCTGATCATATAATTTATTTCAATATTATAAATAATAAGGACTATTTTTTTTTAAATAGCTGTATAAAGTTGTCACACAGACAAGCACACACACACACTGTCTTTCTCCCTCAGAAATCACATATAAGCATCAAGGAAATATCAATTCCATCTCTGTACTAAAAAGGAGAATGAAAGTCCAGACTGCAAAATGTGAGTATGCCTGCCGGAAACATGGTAGATCAAGCAGAAGTGTGGGGAAAAGTACAAGGAGGATCACATAGTTGAAGATCTGAGAATGAGTTTAAAAAATATACTTATTGTCCCAGGTGAAGAGAAAACTCTGAAGTGCCATTCCAAGAACACTTGTTTGCAACAGCAGGCCTATATTATAAAGCGTGGAGCAGATACTTCCTATAACTATAAGAAATAGATTGTTTATGTGGTAATAAGGAGAACCTATTCTACATTTTTCATTTTTCCCACTAATTGAATAAAGGCTAACAAGTAGAATAATTGACATAAACTTATTTCATATAGAAAATAGCTTGTAATATGATCAGGTTTGAGCATTAAGCAAGGAGTATACATACAAAGACATTGCAAGGATAAAAATGAAGAATAGAAAAAAGAAACGTCAGGCAAAGGAAGTACACCAGAAAAATATGGCCATGAACAGACAAAAAAATATGCTCAAATATTTAACATGAATTAAGAACTCTTGTAAAGTAGTCACAAGAACATAAGACAGAGATACAAAAAAATCAAGGCAGAGATAAAAAGAAATAAAAGGTGATGAAACTTTTTTGTAAAAAATGTAGAGAAGGAGAGATCTCACAGAAGTGAAATTTGTAAGTAGCCCAAGGGAGAATTAACAGTGCTGAAAATACAAGGGACACAGAAGACAGTAATGAAAAAAGCATATAAAATGAAAAGGAAATTGATTTAAAATTTTTTGAAGATTAAAGAAAATTACAGTATTAGAAAAAATGAGTAAAACATACATAATTAGAATTCTTAAAAAAGAAAACAATAAATATTTAACAATCCATTTCCAGAACACTGTCAGAAGTAAAAGAAATTTGATTGTATAAATGGAAAAAGACATTGAATTTGAAAGAAAAGAAAAAGTTATTACATTTTACTTCAGAGATAAATAAGTGAAAAAGGAACCTCCTGACAACTGTTGGTGGGAATGTAAACTGATATAGCCATTATGAAGAACAGTATGGAGATTCCTTAAAAAAAAACTAGGACTAAATATACCATATGACCCAGCAACCCCACTACTGGGCATATTCCCTGATAAAACCACAGTTCTAAAAGGCATATGTACTGCAATGTTCATTGCAGCACTATTTACAATGGCTGGGACCTGAAAGCAACCTAGATGTCCATCAACTGATGAATGGATAAAGAAGATGTGGTACGTATATACAATGGAATATTACCCAGCTATAAAAAATGAATTTGAGTCAGTTCTAGTGAGGTGGGTGAACCTAGAGCCTACAGAGTGAAGTAAATCAGAAAGAGAAAATCAAATTAATATATTAACCCATATATAAGGAATCTAGAAAAACAGTATCAGTGAACTTATTTGCAGGGAAGGAATGGAGATGCAGATGTAGTGAATGAACTTGTAAACATGGTGGGAAAGGGAGGGAGAGAGAGAGAGTGGCATGAATGGAGAAAGTAGCATCAACATATGAATAGCTGGTGAGAAGTTGCTGTATAACACAGGGAGCCCAGCTCGGTGATTACCAACAGGGGTGGGATGAGAGAAGGGAAGGGAGGCTCAAGAGAGAAGAGTTACATGTATAATTAACACTGATTCACATATTCTATGGCAGAAACCAGCACAACATTGTAAAGCAGTTTTCCTCCGATTAAAAAAAGAGAGAGAGAGAGGGGAGGAGAGGAATTTAGAAGAAGAAGAAAGAGGAAGTGGAAAAAAAACCAATAATAAGAATTTTCATGTGCTGTCTCTTTTGAATGCTGATTTGGATTTATTTGATATAAACATGGATTTTTTAGATTATGAGCATTATAGAATCTTCATTCAAGAAAAGTATCTGTTTTTAAAACTTAGAAAAGGAACTGTTCAATGTTTAATCAATTTTAATATCTGGATTTTTCTTGTTACAGGAAACTAGAAAAGTTTTTGAATTTCAAAAATCTTCAAACCTGTTTAAAGGAAGCCAGTCTACTAGATTATTATGTATCTGGATTTTTGTGGGCAAAAGGAATGGACTTTTCTGTTATTCAGTATTCAAAATTTATGACTTTACTAGATATGCTACTTCATAATCTTAGAAGTAAGTACATTACTTTTTTTTTTAAGGAAAGAAAATTTAGTCTACTGTCTAAATGAATTTTCTCAAGCAAAAGCTCCTAATTTTTTTGTAAATCCTACAATGAAAATTATGTTTTTTCCTTGGGTGTATATAGCAAGAATATACTTCTTAACTTCATTAAGTTGTAAAGCGTTAATACTTAACAAGGTTAATGTTCTCTTAATAATGAATATGTCAGATACGTTACTTTAATTCTGAAATCTCATTAGTGTCATCCATCCTCAAAATGTCAAGTAGTTCAGATTTATCTAGATATTTTTTATTGTTTGAGCTGTTTTCATCTTATCTTACATTTAAATATTACTGTAATATCAAGTTTGCTGTTAAGAGGAGGTACTTTGGTCACTATCAAAGCCCCATGAAATAGACATTAATCCCATACACTTAGATTTGGTGAGTTTTTTTATTTACTGAAATGAGTTACTACAGGAAATTTGGAAATTCTTCCTTGGAGCAGTTTTAAATGTGATGACTTTTGTTTGAGAATAAACAGAGTTACTTTCTTGGAAGGAGGAAAAGAAGGAAATCTATCATTACTTATTGCCAGCTTTGTTCTGGGCAGTATGTTTGGTTCTAATCTTCAACATACATTGGAAAATGCAGAACAGCTACAGGGGAGGTATCATAACCCCTATATCACAGTTGAGCAAGTGGTCCAAGGTGCATAGTTCGTACATAGCAGAACTAGAACATGAATCTTACTGTATAATCAAAAGACCATGAACACAATAAATGTCAAAGTGTTTCTAACTCCACTGAAAGACTGCTTGTGTCTATGGGAGGCAGCTTTGCTTCCTTCCTTCCTTCCATTTCTTCCTCCTTCCATTTTGTCTCTTTTCTTTTGATTATTTGCTGTTTTTAGTTTCTTTTTTTAAAAAGTTTGGGGAGGTAGAAGACCTTTCTACCCGTAAAAATTGTCACCATTGTCCTAGTAAAATTTATGGAGGACTTTTGGTCACACAAAGCTTATTTTGTTCCTTATATCCTTTTCTAACTGTTCAGAAGCAGGGGAAATACTGTGTTAGCAAAATTAATTGAAGAATCACTCATATCCTATATATCCTTCCTGCTCCTCATCACTCTTAACAAGGGAAGAATTGGTAGTTTTTGTATGTGAGGAGGAGAAATCAATATTTCTCTTTCTCTGCAAATAGGAGAATTTCATTTTTTCTTTACTTAGGTATGTGGTGCCATGTTAAACATTAATAATGTACCAATAGAAGAAAAAATAATTGACAATGAGAAATATTGTATGATATTAACTGACTGATTTCATATTATTCTGTACCTAATATAAAACTAAAACAAAAACTGAGGTCTTAGGTAGGTAGTTTTGAGAATTCAGTCTTTTCCAGTACTATTTTATTAGGAGCCCTGATAAATAATATAACATTGTTTCAGTGTCAGTTGTTGAACTATAATCTTCCAAAAAAGAATTCTTAGTAAATCATCACAAAAACAGACTTTGGCTGCTTTTTCCCTCATGACACAAATATTTGTGGAATCTTTGAGTACTACAGGTCTCAAAACATTCTTTCAATACTATTGTCAAAATTACTAGACAGACAAAGAACTGTGTGAATCTCATCCTGCATGGAAAATATTAATAACTAGATACCAACAATAAAATGAAATGGATATTGAGATTAGATGACAAAGACTTCAAAACAGCTACAGGAGCTTAAAAGAACTGTTGTGAACATTGTTGAAACAAACATCAAAATATAAAGAATCATGAAGGAAACAGACGGTATAATCAAGAAACAGAATTTTAGAACCAAATTGTACAATGACCAAAATTAAAATCTCACTGAGTAGAATCAATAACAGAATGGAGACAAAGGAAAAATCAGTGAACTTAAAGATGGAAGATCAATAGAAATTATCCAATCTGCACAATACAGAGGAAAAAAAAGATTGGTAAACAAATGAACAAAACCTCAAGGACCTATGAACAGAAGTTCTAATATACATATCATTCAGAGTCCCAAAAGGACAGGAGAAAGAGTACAGTGCTAAACAAGCATTTGAAAAAGCAATAGTTGAAACATCCCAAATTTAGCAGAAGACATAGACCTGTAAATTCAAGAGGCTAACTAGTCACAAATAAGGTAAACCAAAAGAAAAACATCAACTGTCTGGATCTAATTGCCATTTACAGAACAGTATACCCCAAAACAACAGAATAGTCATGCTTTCAAGTGTGTATGGCACAGTCATCAAGGTGGACCATATCCTGGGTCATGTAACAACCTTAAATTTAATTGAAACCATACAGATATGTTTTCTGACCATCATGGAATTAAACAAATAATTAATAACAGAAATATGTAAGGGAAATCTCCAAACACTTGGATATTGAACAGCACAATTCTTACTAGTCCATGAGTAAAAGAGAAAGTCTCAACAGATATTAGAAAAGATTTTTAAGTAAATGAATAGATCATGGATCCACCAGAAAAGAAAGAATAATAAACAGAAGTCAATGAAATTGAAAATGAAAAACCAATAGAGAAAATCAATGAAACAAAAATCTGGATCTTTGATAAGATCAAAGTTGATAAACATGAAGTAAAACTGACTAAGAAAAAAGATGGAAGGTACAGGTTATTATTATCAAGTATAAAAAAGGATATCGCTAAACATTGTGCAGACATTAACAGAATAATAAGAGAATGTTAATTATACGTACATTAGAAGACAAAAGTAACTGACCAGTTTTCAAAAACCTCAAACTAATAAAATTCACCAAGATGAAGTAGATATCTTGATAGTCCCATAACTACTGAAAAAATTGAATATGTTGCTAAGAACTATTGGAAAAAAGTCTTCAGCCCAGATATTTCTATGGGAAAATTCTGTTAAACAGTTAATGAAAAAATACCACCAATTATATATGACATCTTCCAGGAATAACAGAGGAAAGAACTCTTTGTAACTCATTTTGCGAGGCTAAAATTATCTTCATACCTAAACCTGACAAAGAGAAGAAGGAGGGGTGAGGGGAAAGGGAAAAGAGGAAAAAGTTGAGGAAAGGTGGGGAAGTAGGACTAAAAAGAGGAGAAGAAATTACAGAGAAATGTCCCTAATGAACACAAAAAGCATCTCAACAAAATACTGTCAGAATTAATCAGGCAATTCATAAAAAAATAATATAGATGACCAGTTGGGCTTTATGCCAGAAATTCAATGCTGAATGGTTCAGTGTTGAAAATCTGATTCATGTAAAAAATTGAAAGAAGAAAAGATCACGTGATCATGTAAATGGATGCAAAGACAGCATTTGACTAAGTACAACATCCATTCATTGTTTTTAAAGTCAGAAAATTAAGAAAAGATGTTGTTTTTGTCAACCTTATAAAAGATATCTACAGAAAAGCCACCATCATACTTAGTGGAGAAAAGCAAAATTCTTTCCTTGTAAGATCAGGGTTAAGGTAAGAATGTCTAGTCTTAACTCCTGTTCAGCAAAAGAATTGGAGTCTTAGCAATAAGTGCAGTATAGTGAGAAAAAGAAATAAAACGCAGGCAGACTGGAAAGGGGGGGATTATACAGTTCCTGTTGTCAAATGAAATGATTCTCAGTATAGCAAGTTCCACAGAATGAAAAAATTTCCTTGAACTAATGAATTGAGCAATGTTGCATGAAGAAGGTCAAAACACAAAAGTCACTTGTATTTCAATATACTAGCAATGTATATTGCATACCAAATTTTTAAGAAACAAATATCTTCAGTTCAGTTGCTCAATTGTGTCCGACTCTTTGCGACTCCATGAATCGCAGCACACCAGGCCTCCCTGTCCATCACCATTCCTGGAGTCTACCCAAACCCATGTCCATCGAGTCGGTGATGCCATCCAACCATCTTATCCTCTGTTGTCCCCTTCTCCTCCTGCCCCCAATCCCTCCCAGCATCAGGGTATTTTCTAATGAGTCAACTCTTCGCATGAGGTGGCCAAAGTATTGGAGTTTCAGCTTCAACATCAGTCCTTCCAGTGAACACCCAGGACTGATCTCCTTTAGGATGGACTGGTTGGATCTCCTTGCAGTCCAAGGGACTCTCAAGAGTCTTCTCCAACACCATAGTTCAAAAGCATCAATTCTTCGGCGCTCAGCTTTCTTCACCGTCCAACTCTCACATCGATACATGACTACTGGAAAAACCATAGCCTTGACCAGACGGACCTTTGTTGGCAAAGTAATGTCTCTGCATTTAGATATGCTATCCAGGTTGGTCATAACTTTCCTTCCAAGGAGTAGGCGTCTTTTAATTTCATGGCTGCAATCACCATCTGCAGTGATTTTGGAGCACACCCCCTAAAAAAAGTCTGACACTGTTTCCACTGTTTCCCCATCTATTTCCCATGAAGTGATGGGACTGGATGCCATGATCTTAGTTTTCTGAATGTTGAGCTTTAAGCCAACTTTTTCACTCTCCTCTTTCACTTTCATCAAGAGGCTCTTTAGTTCATCTTCACTTTCTGCCATAAGGGTGGTGTCATCTGCATATCTGAGGTTATTGATATTTCTCCTGGCAATCTTGATTCCAGCTTGTGCTTCTTCCAGCCCAGCATTTTTCATGAGGTACTCTGCATATAAGTTAAATAAGCAGGGTGACAATATACAGCCTTGACGTACTCCTTTTCCTATTTAGAACCAGTCTGTTGTTCCATGTCCAGTTCTAACTGTTGCTTCCTGACCTGCATACAGGTTTCTCAAGAGACAGGTCAGATGGTCTGGTATTCCCATCTCTTTCAGAATTTTCCACAGTCTGTTCTGATCCACACAGTCAAAGGCTTTGGCATAGTCAATAAAGCAGAAATAGATGTTTTTCTGGAACTCTTGCTTTTTCGATGATCCAGCAGATGTTGACAATTTGACCTCTGCTTCCTGCCTTTTCTAAATCCAGCTTGAACATCTGGAAGTTCATGGTTTGTATATTTCTGAAGCCTGGCTTGGA